CATGAATCTCTCTATGAGATATGTATAACTAACACATTGTATCTTCAATCTTTTTTGTACAAAAAAACACTTTTCTTAGTAGAAAGAATAGAAATTTAGTGAAGTGTAAATTCACCTTAACTGTTTCTAAATGTGTACGATGTTAACAAAGTCATAAACCAGATGTGACAGTTATTCATTCGCACGCGCACATGCACACACTTGCACACACACACACGCATACAAAGAGATATGTACTGAAAATACGATTAACACTCATTTACTGTAATCTGATTAGTAATAATAATAATAACAATAATAATAGTAATACTATCCATGATATTAATAACGATGCCTCTAATTAAAGTCACGGGATCTATACACAATTACGAATTAATTAAAGCTTAGTTGACTGAATCATTGTGAAACCGACCGACATGAATGCCTTAAACAGTGGCATTGCTTTATGAAAATGCTCTTTCTGATAACAGTGACTGGTGTGTGACAATTTACATGAAACTGACAGCATTAGCTATGACAGATTATGGGCTATGTTCTGTATCCAGAAATTCAAAACTGTGATACAGCGAAATTCCATAGATAACTTAATTCTGGTTTAATATTAATAATAACTGTGTAATTTTTTCTCAGCATTGTAATGTTAAAGCTTTTACGAGTTGATCACGGATTGATATCAGTTAGAGAACCATTGAAAACCAGCCACAGTGAGTACTGGACAGCTGTTTCATCCTAATTTGGGAATCATTGGTAGTACGCACCTACTGGGATTCGAACCCAGGACCTTCGTATACCATTCAGCCACTGGGACCCGCTTCAATGGTTCATGAATTCTAACTCCTACCAATTCGTGATTTAGCGCGACCCCAACCAATGTCTGATTCTCGCTAGTGACTTGCTACAGGATGGAGTTTTCTGGAGTCAGTTCTAGTGAGAAGTCGTGACCAGTGAGGTTCAACCAGATGTCACGTGTGAGGATGGATGTCCCATCAACGACATTGGTTGGGGTCGCGCTAAATCACGAATTGGTAGAAGTTAGAATTCATGAGCTGGCCATTGAATCGGGTCCCAGTGGCTGAATGGTATACGAGCCAGCTTGCCTTGTAACCGGAAGGTCCTGGTTTGGAATCCCAGTAGGTGCGTACTACCGATGATTCCCAAATTAGGATGAAACAGCAGCTGTCCAGTACTCCCTGTGGCTGGTTTTCAATGGTTCTCTAACTGATATCAATCCGTGATCAACTCGTAAGAACATAACTAACCCCTACAAACCAAACTATAGAAAAATAATGTTAAAGTGTTCGGTCAGCATAGGCACAAGATCGATCACCTAATCATGTAATACTTAATGCATCACTAGACAGTCATTTTGGACGAGCAACATGAAACTACTCAATCAACAGCTGTTGAACGACTGTAAACTGAGATGTTAAAAAAACTAGGTGTTTTCTTTTACATCCTAGCTAGTAATCACAAATCTAACCATGTCTTGGCCAAATACAGTCAACTGATGGAATAAAATGATAAATTTCCAATACCATGGGTGCACGTCTTCTCCCAAATGTAACTTTTCTGACCCCATAGATCAGTCAGTATGTCCCAACAGAACTGGGATATTCATCTCAATCGACTACTCACAGCTACAGTGATTCTCCGTGGCTGGATATTGGAAAATTATACTATTTGGCATTTCAGCAGGGTTATAGGCTAAAAAGCAGAGATGTCATCTCTTTTACCCATGCAATTCATAATTAGTCCATACAGTAGGACTGGCTGGTGAATGAATTTCTCCTTGCATTAGGTTTGCAGCGTGATCTTAGAAGTCATGATCTGACCACCTGACCGATTGAATCGTATAACCGAATCACTTAAAAGACTATACAATAACATGGATTCTATCTTCATGTAGAGTGTTGTCTACCTGTACACGATGCGTCGTTGGCACAGCAGTAGAATGCTCACTTGGTTTGGGGTTCGATCCCCGACCACTGACGCACTCTTTTATCTTGCTAATAAGACTGCGGCATGAGGCTAGCAAACCTCATCCCGGGAAAATAAATACTACTGCTACCAAAAGTTCAAGCCTCTAGCTTGAAGACACCCTATGTTCCACTGGGAACGTAAAGGAATAAAAAAAAGCGCGACAACTTGACTTTGTCATTTAGATGAGCGTGAACGACATTTTACGTAAAAGTGAATTTGTGTTTAGACCTATCGTAGAGATAATAACAACTGACAGATAGCCTCATACATCAAGTGTAGAAATAAGCAGAGTGCCCTGACATTGTAGATAATCTTATTTTAACATCACTCACTGCTCAAATAAGGATAAAATTACTTAGCTTAAGCCGACTTTCAGTGTGTATATGAATGAAACACCCAGTAGTCTTAGTGTCAGTGATTAAACCCTGTACACTAAAACTAATCGAATACAGTAAGTAGCGTGAATAGCATACGAATATTAAGCAAATAGAAGGCATTAAGATGCTTCAGGTCAATTTATGAGTACCGTTTTGTAATTGTTCTTTTTTAATGATTCCTTCACATTCCCAGTGGAACATAGGGATTCAAGCTAGAGGCTTGAAGCTTCTGTAGCAGTGGTGTTTATTTTTCACAGGATGGGGTTGCCAGCCTCATGCCCAGCACAACCTCCCCTCTTTACCAGTCTTATTACAGGCTTGGCAAGGTAAAGAGTGCGTCGGTGGCCGGGGATCGAACACCGAACTACATGAGGCGTGGTTGGCGAGCATTCTACTGCTGCGCCACCGACGCACGTGTTGCAGTAGATAAGAGTTAAAACTTTGTTTAGATATTCAGAAGACACTGAGTTATTGATATAAGGATAAAACTTGGGCACTGTGGTGGTAGAGTATAACTCCATTATAAATAAGATTTTATTTTGATGAAATCACACAGTGTTGTTGTACAGTAATATCGACTGATGCGACCACGTTTCGAGCACAATTGATTACTGCTCATAATCATATCAACACAATACTCGCATAACTTTCTTGCTTCATTTATATACATGAGTAAAAGTTGATGATTAGACATTTGAATAAAATCAATATGTGATAATGTACATTCGGAAATAATAATATTAGTGTTATCAGTAAAATACAATCAAACGGGAAATAAGATGTTTTTATAGTAAAATAAATAAATAAATAACTTTTTAGAATGTTATAATATGGACTGAAAAACACATTTTAAGATTATTTATTATCCTCCTCTGATTTGACTGAATGGTGGTAATAATATCTTCCATATTTCTGGTATTTGTGTTGAGTCATTTCCATTGCACGTGTTGGGTGTAGACTCAATGGACCAGGATTCAGTAATCAATCTCTCTCTAACTCCACCTACCTATATTACTCTTTAGAATTTGGACCCTGTCCCACCTAACCTATTGTGTGTTTGTGTGTTAATGCATGCATTGCAATAGCTGCGTGCTGTTTTCTAAATTACTTATCTTCTCTGGGTCAACCATTCTTACCTTAGCTAAATTCTTATGTTCTGACAATCTGACTACCCCTGACCTACTAGTTTGACCTATGTAGTTGACCTTACTCACAGTCATTGCAGGGTATTTTGTAAATTATATTATTTTGTCTAATTGGGTGAACAGGGTCCTTTAACCTACAGAGCTTGTCTCTGAGTGAGTTTGTAGGTTTGAATGCCATCCTAATTCCTTGGTATGATTATGAGTGGCAATAAATTGTGCTCGAAACGTGGTCGCATCAGTAAATATTACTGTATAACACACTGTGTGTGTGTGATTTTATCAAAACAAAAATTTACGCATAATGCAGACACTGAGTTACATACATTTAAACAAGTTCATGAACTTTTTCAATTATTTATCAAAATAATTCCGGTGAAATATGTGCATTATGTATACCAAACCCGCTACAGACACTTATTTTTGAAGCAGAAAAAAGCACAACTAGGGTCACCGCCACTTATCCACAAGAGAGATGTTATTTTTGTTACTGATCACTGTCGGTTGCATTTATTTAAAAAGATACAGTATCTGAACGGAGTGAAATTAAAATATGCTTTCGCTGAGGGATTTTCAGGCTCCAGAATAAATTTCAACGTTAGTAGGGTAAGACCACTTGTCAGAAAGGAGATTTTCCACCGTAGAACGACATCCCCAGACATGAAAAAACGAACAAAAAATGTCTTGTTTCTAAGTTTACTTTATTGAGCACTTGTAATAGGGTCAAAGTTGGCTGAAAGTAGGCAATCAAAATGTAATATCTGCCTTTATTTTAAGTCAAGTGCACCTACGGTGCGTCGGTGGCATAGCGGTTAGGACGCCTGCCGACCATGCACATGGTCCTGCGTTAGATCCCTGGCCACTGACGCACTCCTTTACCTCGCTAAGCCAGAAATAATGCTGGTAAAGAGGAAAGGTTGGGCATGAGGCTAGCAACCCCATCCTGTAAAATAAACACTACTACAGAAACTTCAAGCCACTAGCTTGAAGCCCTATGTTCCACTGGGGAACGTGAAGGGAAAAGAAATGTACCCACGGATTCCACGAAATTCTTGTCTCAGACTGATATTAGTGTCAGCCGAACTAACACTAAAACTCTCAGATGATGAATGAACTTCTATAGAACATCAACGACAAATTCTTTGATAGTATCCTGAATTATTTTTCTTGGTCTTTCATACTTGTGGAATTCTGTGTTTCATGCATGCATGCGCGAATAAAAGATTTTTAAAAAGACTCCTAAAGTCCTAATGTTGTGCACTGAGTATATCATCACTACGGTAACAAATCAAAGGTATCCTATAGCTACGAAAAATCTTTGAGACATCGCTCACTTGATAACGATTTGTGTGGCAGTACTCCCTCTTTTAAATGCATATTAGAAAATACCACCTTAAGGACAGGTTTTGAATAAAAATAGTTACACAGTTACACACACGCACACATAAGCAAAAACACAATATAAAATACAATCAAGGCATATAGTTTTCGCTGTACTTACCTGATGGATTTCTTGTAGACCGTCCTTGTCTACGACACCGATTCTCGAGTGTTCATACAACAGACTGTGACATATTCTTGTATCTGGATCATATAGTATATTGTAATATAGGGGAGTTAGACCAGATCTGTCTAAACAGTTTGGTGATTGTCCAAAATCTAATAATGTCTAGAAATGGGGAAGAAAAGATTCACGATAAGTTATCATACAGACATCAAAAAGATGAGACACATTGAGTCGTCTCTTTTTTGTCTTTACTCAAACTTTATAAACGATAGGCTTTAAGTTTATTAGAGCGAACATTTTATCTGTTACAGGCAGTTTGACTCGCCTGATGAACGACGCATTACACCCACATCATTCTTCCAAGTACAGTTAGCTTGCAATTAAAAACAAATGCTCACGGATATTAATGATAAATATCTCTGTGCTACATTGACAAGATTACTTGTTGAATCCTGTAGAGTTATGTCTACACAAGAAATTAATTACCAGTCTATAGAACATTTGTTTTGATTCATTCATGAAAACAAAACGCGTGCTTCAGAGAAGAGTCTCTTTTCGGCAGCGAATTCCCTTTCCTAGCTGTACAATCGCAAATATATATGTGGGTTATTTGTATGTATGTATACATTAAGCTTGTCAAACAAATACAGTCGGTTATGGTTATTTTAACTAAAGGGGGTGAGAATTAGTAAGCTCTGGGCGGAGTTGTTCAATACAAAAACGGTCAACAAAATTCGGTGTTATTGAAACCAGTGTAGTAACAAAGGTATGTGATGAGTTGTCGCAAATAGTCGTTAAAATGGATTTACGCAATAATATGAATAGTTTGATGTTTGAGTTGTACTCAGGATACAAATAGGAATAAAGTGGAGAATGTGGAAATACGTAGGAGTTTTAAATGAATACAAGAATTACAAGCAATTAAAGAAACAAGCAAGCAAGCAAACAAACAAAATCAAGTGGTGAAAAATCAGCAAAGTTGTTACCATGATGGTAGTAATGGTTGAATAATTCTCGTTTGTATGCACAGCTCCGATATTCCAGAGCTTCAAAGATACGAAGAAGATGAAACCGTATTGCCCTTGGTAGGTTATTCTTGACTCTGTAGATTACTTTGAAGGAGGCGTTTGCTGATATAGAGTGATAAGTGTTAACCAGGTGTTCAGTTATTGCACTCCTTATAATACCACTATTGACTTTTCGTAACCATGCTGGATAGTGTTCTTGAATCTTCTTGAACAGGATGTGGAATCGAACGACAGATGTACCTGGCTCTACAGCAGCAGGTGGAATGATATACACACATAGAAGTGGCCAGATGAGGGATCTTGTCCTTAAGGCTTCTGCAGATCAGTGGGCGACTGGAGAACACTATTCTTAGCTTTGCTGCAAAGAATGTTCTTCTCAGAGATGATGTAATCCTTCCTATTTGTATCCTGAGTACAACTCAATCATCAAACTATTCATATGATTGCGTAAATCCTTTTTAAAGACTATTTGTGACAAATCACCACCTACCTTTGTTACTACACTGGTTTCATTAACACCCAATTTTCTTGACTGTTTTTGTATTACACAACTCCACCCAAAAGTTAATAATTCTCACCCCCTTTAGTTAAAATAACCATAACCGACTGTATTTGTTTGACAAACTTAATGTACACATACATACAAAATAACCCATATACTGCTGATATAAAAATAGAACTTGTGCACTGTGATAGAGTTTAATTCCATTGTGAGACTATATCAAAATAATCCATATATATATTTGCGATTGTACAGCTAAGGAAATGAATTCTCCGCTGAAAATTTGCTTTCTCGCCATTTAAAGCCTCAGAGCAGATTCACACTTCACTGGTGGAATTATTTTGTATTTAATAACCGTAATTTTATCTTACAGTTATCATCATGCGCAATCACTACACAAATTCTGTTGGTTTGTCACTAATAATGATTTTTCAGATGGTGTTATTTATTATTATTATTGTTTCCTTTAATTCCTACAGGAACATACGGCTTCAGCCGCGCGTCTCCATTACATTCGGTTCTCTGCTAGAGTCTTCACCTGGCTCCAAGTCTGCCCACACGTTTTCATCTCTTCACATGACCTCCTCTTCCATGTCACCCTCGCACTGACGACCAACCAAATCGCCGCTTCCCTTTTGGGTTCCACTCGAGCGATGGCTTGTCTAGTGATGTCACTTGATGGTTTGTTATCTCAGTGTATGGCCAATCCATCTCCATTTCTTCCTGCCTATTTGTTTCACAATCGGTTCCTGCTGTGTTGGTTCGCTCATTGCCAGAGATCTCTGTTGCTGATCTATTCTGGCCGGCCACCTGATCTTGAGTAGTATTGAGCGGAGACAGCTAGCTGTTGATGAAGGTGTGTAGTTTGTTTGAGATGCTCTTTATGACGCGCAGTGCAAGTCTCTCATCCGTATAGTGAGTAGCACTGACTTCACATTGGAGTTGAAAATCCGGATCTTATTTTCATGCTGAGTGCTGTTGACCTCCACACAGACTTGAGAGTAGTGAAAGCTTGTCTTGCTTTCCCGATTCTTGCTTTGATATTCTCGTCAGTTCCGCCTGTAGTTGAAACGAAGCTTCCCATGTAGGTGTGTAGGTAAAGGAGGTTGTTTCTTTCAGGTTTCTTCCATTTATGCTGATCGTTGTCTGTTGTTGCTGTTCTTGCCCAGGAATCTTCATCCCCTCTGTTTTCTCTATGTTCACCTAGTAACGATTTTTCAGATGGTGTTATTCAGTTATGCAAAATGATACACCGAATGCTATTCATGGATAATTCGATTCCCGATCGATACACTCTTAAACCTTGTTTAGCCGACAGCAATCCCGAAGAATAGGGAGGGTTTGGCGTGGGACTGGTGATGCCATCCCACCACTCCTGCTGAAACTTGAAACCTCGAGTTTAAAGCCCTCTGTTCCACTTGGTACACAAAGGAATGGAAGAAATTGAATAATAACAAATAGCAATAATGTTAAACTCTGCAATAAAACCAGTATTAGCTAACCTTAACACCTTCAAAATTGCCAACTGTCACAGCTTTATGCAATGGTGTATAACCAGCCAAAGAATAAAAATCACGATGTGCACCCCCCGAGATCAGCGTCGATATCATTTCGTATGGTTTCGATCGAGTTACTGCTATTGTCAACGGTGTTTCTAAAATTAGACACAGCAAAAGAGCAATTATCATTGATATTTTTGCTATTACTATTGCATACCTCCTGTTTTTGGACAGTGTAGATTGGGATCAAAGCCTTTGGACAACAGTTTCTCCACTTTTTGACATTCTCCTCGAGATACATATCGAAAAAATGTCTTGACAAAATTCTATTTTTCCATAGAAATAAATGAATACATGTCAAACAATTAAATTACCTTGGATATTTTACTCATCAATGCTGGTGAGATGTTGAATGGTGGCACAGTGCGACGCTTATAAATAAACTAGAAATGCAGAAACACAATCAGTTAGGGAGGATTGTTTTTATGATGGAAATTACCTCTAAGGTAACCAATATCTTTCCACTGATGTATTCTGATAGAAGACGTTCTTCTTCAAGGAATTTACCCTTTCTACTCGGTTCATCGGGTTGATACAGGCCCCAGTTCTGTGCATCGTTTAAAAAGCAACCGAATGTATGCAAAAGTTTCTTTTTAATATCTAATATAATTGCATCACCGATTACTTTCAATGTGGTCTGCAAAAGGAGAAAAAAATTGTTCATTAACAACTTCATTAAACAACAACAGCTTACCTGTTTGTTTAAATCTGTAATAATAATGTGCAACTCTGTAATTTTTGGTAGTTCAATCTGCATAGTTGAATTGGCGGAATTATTGGCTAGACTGTTGACGCTTTTGTTTGAATCACTGTCATTCAGGTAGGGTAGAGTGAACTTTTTCATTGTGCAGAATTTCTGATAAATTTGTCCACTTTATATTGACATAGCCTGCATCACTTGTATAGACTGTATTGACTTAGAAGATGGCATTAATCGAATATTTGAAGCGTTGAATTCCATGGAATCATTTTGATTATCTACAGGAATAAATATATACATATATAATTTTTTTTAAATACTTCAGTCTGACTTATAATCAGAGTTCAGGTTATTGTACAAAACACTGAAAGCCCAAGTAAGTCATTTCTACCGTTCCAATATAATGTAGTCTGAAATTCCTTTCTTTTTAAATTTTTTACTTGTGACATAAGTTTTTCAGTTTACAACTGCATTAAATGGATTATACTTTAAAAAACAAAATAATTGAGCAAAGAATATCCTTTTCCATAATTTCCTCTTCTGGCTTTACATTTATATATATATATGTCTTTATATACGTAGTCTGTCTGTCTGCTTTCGACATAGAACTTTGCACCGATGTGCAGCAGTTCAAGTCGCCACACTCCCTCTTTGTAGCACACAAAGCAAGAGAAGAAAGTAGAAGAAATGCATACTAGAGATAGTAAACATAGGTGTGAGACAAAGGAATAGTAATAACGAAGAACAATATGGTTTCATTGGAAATCATAAGTCACAAGGAGTGGATGCGCCAGCCATTGGGAACGAACACTTTTAGCCACATCACCGATTGTTTCCAGCCTGCATTGGCTTTTACCGTCCTGAGGACCCCAACCAGGAAGTCTACACCTTCCTACATGACTGGCTTCAACTAACTGTTTCGGATTTCATTGAGTGGTGTCACGTTTTGGTTTGACCACCGCTTGCTCTTTTCCAAACTTACCCTATATCAGCTAACATTGCCCTTCGAGGAAGGCGATGACTAGGCATACGTAACACATGTCCTAACCATCTCAGCCGATGTAATTTCACAGTCTCGTCGATTGGTTTCCCCTCCTTACCTAGCACTCGACCGAGGCCTAACCTCAATATTGCTCACCTTATCATACCACTTCACGCGGGAGATAGAACGCAGACATCTATGATCGAACACAGATAATCTTTTCATGTCTTCTGCTCTCAATGGCCAGGTCTCACAGCCATAAAGGAGGACGGAGTGGACTGTTGAGGAGTACACACGCCCTTTGGTCGATAGGCGGATATCACGTCTACGCCAGAGACGGCGTAAACTGGCATATGCGAAACTAGCCCTCTGTATTCGTACTGAGAATTTGTCAAAGATCAACCCGTAGAATACGTAGAATATTCTAGAATAGTCGTCATTAACACAATTGGTGTCTTTTTAAAGACTATCGATTTGTTAAGTAAGATTAATGGAATTACAGTTCATCAAAGATGCATAAATTGCAATAAAAATAAAAATATAATAGCAAATAGAATATCAAATGAAATTAGAAACATTCCACAAAAATTGGGGATCATTCAAACCCAGATGGCCAAGGTAAGGATAATATCTGAACTAGATTCTTTTAAAAAACATAAATTAGGCTTCCTAATGTGGATCCCTACGGCCTCAGCAATATTTAGTAATCGAAGTCTTAAGTAAAGATTTGTTGGTATGCGGTTAGTGACTTTGAAAGCCTCATTGTGTTCTGTATGCACGAGAAGAGATAGAATAGTGCTACGAATAGATTTTGTTTGTCCTTTACTCAACCACATAGGATCATATTCTGAAATCCAACAATAAATACGCCTAATTGTACGGTCTATGCAACTGACTTCACAAGGGCAGTCAAATTGGTAGATCCACATAAAGGGGTAGAAATTAGGAGGTTTGTCTTCAACTCCAGAATGCAAAATAGGGGTGGTTTTGAAGACACAGCATAATGTAGCAGCAGTGGATGCTCTTTTTGCCGCTTTCCTTAAGCGCTGTGCTAATATCTCACTGATTTTGACTCCAAGGAACTGAAGTTGTAAGAATAAGGCCTTTTTTGGAACTGGTTCAGACACTTTCCTCACCTTGAGCATTGAGCTTTTAATGATCCTCAATTTGTTGCCGAAACTCCCTTAATTTTATTTGATATTCTATTTGCTATTACATTTTCATGCTTATAATCACTATCCACAGTGGAATTATAACTTAAGCGTCTTTCGTGAACTGTAATTCCATTAATCCTACTTAACAAATCGATAGTATTTAAAAAGATGACTATAGTGTTAATGACGACTATTCTAGAATATTCTACGTATATATATATATATATATATATATATATATATATACCCCAGGCAGTGACCTGAGGTTCTAGTGGGAAGCCGTGACCATTAGGGCACAGCAGTTTGAAGATGAGGCAGTAACTCATCGAATAAGACATTGCGAAATGGTCGCGCTATGTCGTGATTTGGCAGAAGTTAGAATTCATGGGCCATTGGATCGGGTCCCAGTGGCTCAATGGTCTACGAGCTCGCCTTGTAACCAGAAGGTCCTGGGTTCGAATCCCGGTGGGTGCGTATTGCTGAAGAGTCCCAAACTAGGTGGACGAAACAGCTGTCCAACACCCCCAGATTTTCCAGTGGTTCTCTAACTGATGTCAGCTCATGATGAAATCCTTCATGCAATCAAAATAATCTTATTTTAGTCTGCTATGAGTGCTCGCTAACACCTGTTATGCTTCAGGTTGGCAAAGGCTTGACCAAATTTATTTGAGGCTGACTGATGCTTATAGGATTTCAGTGTTCGCCTAATCTAGAACTTCAGCTTAAGAAAACTATGACTGTGACAGCCTTCTACCAATAAACCACATTCTGATATTCGCTCGTCAATCTTACATTCTTGTCAATGAACACTTAAATCCTTTTTGTTGATGAATAAGTACAGCTGATTAACCTGCCAACTTTTAGTTAATTTCAATATATCATGTCATTTATTCATTCTCAAGTGAGTCAATCAGAAGGCCACTTTTAACAAATAGTAGGATGGAAAGGTAAAGATTTCAAAATACTTACAGATGACCGATAGACACGTAACACCAGTTTTTAGAAATCTTCTAAACTTCACCTTCACTCAACCAAAACTATGCCCGACATTAGATGTTTTTATGTTAATCAGCAAGCAGCTGTAACGTTTTCCAATTTGTGTTGTTGTGCTCTGATTACAAAATAACACAACCTAAAAGTTAAATGACCGATCAACAGTTCTGTAAAACAGTCAGCTAACACTGCGATGTGATAGGTTGATAAACCTACCAATCAGAATTGAGAGAATGAGCAAGACCGGCCTCCAATATTTCAACTACACATACACACACTTTAACTACATTGCTGTCAAAAAACTGCATTTTTCAACTTATTCACCATTTTGTTTTAAATTTCATAACCCTACCTACATCGCAAAGTGCACAGATGAAGAAGTCGGATAACCTGTAACAGTTTTATAAGCACAAAAACAGAATTTGTCCTTTGTGAAATTCACATTTCACACTGTCTGTTCCCTTTTATTCCAGTGATAAAAGTCATGTAAAAAGGTGATTGGCTAGTGGAAATTCATAGAATGAGCTTAAAAGGAAATCAGAAGGGTGGTTATAAAAGGAGTGTTTGGTTAGTTCTTCAAGTTAAGCAACCGCTGAACGACGATTTAAGCATCATTTATATGTTTATAAGGGGAGATTAACGAACTGAGAGGTGAACTAGTCTAGGGTGTAAAATAAGCAGTTTACTTTCAAAGATTTTACCTATTATTGTTGTTTTCTATAGTTTGGTTTGTAAGGATTAGTTTTGTGTTTATGAGTTGATCACGTATTAATACCAGTTAGAGAACCATTGAAAACCAGCCACTGGATAGCTGTCTCATCAGCCTAGTTTGGAAATCATCACCAGTACGCACCCACCACACAGGTTCGAACCCAGGACTTTCCGGTTACAAACAGGCAAGCTCGTATACCATTGAGCCACTGGGACCCGATTCAATGGCCAATGCATGAATTCAATTCGTGATTTGGCGCGTTGTGTTATATGTGATGCGTGTAATAAGGAGGCATATTCATGACAGTATAGCAAAAATATTCATTCAGACATCTATAAAACACAAAATAATCAAGCAAAGAATATTCTTTTCGATAAATTCCTCTTCCAGGCTCTACAATTATATATATATATGCTTATATATACAGAATATTTTAAATTAGTAGTTAATAACAATATTAGCGTACGTCGGTTGCATAGAGGTTAGGACGCTCGACAACCATGCACATGGTCCGGGGTTCGAACCCCGGCCGGCGCACTCCTTTACCTCGCTAAGCCAGAAATAAAGTTGGTGAAGAGGAAAGGTTGGGCATGCGGCTAGCAACCCCATCCTATAAAATAAACACTGCTACAGAAACTCCACGCCTCTAGCTTGGAGCCCTATGTTCCACTGGGAACGTGAAAGAATAAAAAAAACAATATTAGCGTTTTTTAAATAATATCGATTTGTAAAGTAAGACCACAATGGAATTACAGTTCATTAAAGATGCTTAAATTATAATAATAATAATAATAATAATAATAATAATAAAGACATAGTAGCGAATAGAATATCGACTAAAATTAGGAAAATTCCACAAAAATTCATGATCATTCAAACCTGGGTGGCCAAGGTAATGAATGATGATAATGACTAAACTAACTTATTTTGGATGCATAAAATAGGTTTATTAATATGGATCCCCACAGCCAGCCTCAGTAATGTTTAGTAGTCGAACTCTTAAGGCAAAATTGAGGTTCGTAGGTATGCGATAAATCACCCTGAAAGCATGATTAACGTCAATCTTGTGTTCTGTCTCCACAAGATGAGCCAGAATAGCTCTACGAATAGATTTTGTTTGTCCTTTACTTAACCATTAAGCAGGGTGATGTTCGGAAATTCGACGAAAAACACGCCTAATTGTACGGCCTATGTAACTGGCTCACTCCACAGGAGCAGTTAAATTGGTAGATACACATGGAAGAGGCGAAATTAGACAGTTTGTCTTTTACTCCCAAACGCAAAAGAGGAGTGGTTTTAAAGATACAGGGTATATAAACATATATATATATATAATTGTAGAGCCTGGAAGAGGAATTTATCGAAAAGAACATTCTTTGCTCGATTATTTTGTGTTTTATGACAGTATGATAGCTTTTAAAATCTGTGAGATCGCTACAACATCAGATTCACTCAAAGCTCACTCTACAGCAACAACTAGTAAAAGTCTACTTTATAAGCCCGAATTTTAACAATCAGCTACAAACACTTTAGCCTACTCAGAAAACTGGTAAATGTCTATTTGTTAAGCAACAGCCCAGGCGATATTCACTAGTGATCAAGGTACAATGGTTGTAAGAAAAAAAGTGTAATGCGATATCATTCTGACATTTAACTAGGTGTAAATTATCCCCTTGTGTTAGTGCATACTACACGTGACTTTTGACAGCAAAGGAAAAATCAGCGCAGATAACTCTAACTGACATTTTCTTCAACAATCAAGAAAAAAAATATTGATAACAAGGAAACTTTTAAAAAAATGTTACACATTAATAAGAAGTCTGAAAAGTCGGCTACACATGTTGATTGCAAGTGCAACCACAAGTACAATCCTAACTTGATTAAGATACACTTTTTTACACATTCTTAGTTTAATCACGGCTGACCTTATTGCCACAAAAGGTGTACAACACATAAGATAACTTTTTGTTTTGATACCGTGATTAGAAGACGGAGATTATCTGAAAAATGTGATGTGATGTATTTGCGCTATACATTTCGAACAATCTGATCATACATTTACTTGTCAAGCCAATATATATATGGAAAAGTTAAATTAAACAAAATGACAAAAAAAGGAATTAAGAATAATTAATACAAACGTTTGGTTAATCCAATCAAATAAGGATTACCAAGGTAGGTTAAGAGTAATAACAAACTGTTTTTGAATACACAAGGGGAGGGCTTAAGTTTATAAATGGCTATAGCCTCAGCGTTTTTCAGTTAACGTCCTTGACCGTTTTTATAGATGACCTTAAAGGCTGAGTTAACATCAACCTTATGGTTCATCTCGATTAGATGTTTAGTTATTGACGAAGTTGGTAACGTTCTGTGTTGGTGGGGTAAATTCTCAACACAGGTGATATTGGTTAGCGGATTTCATCATGAGCTGACATCGGTTAGAGAACCATTGGGAAACCTGCAAGGAGTACTGCTAGACAGCTGTTTCATCCCAATTTTGGACTCGTCATCAGTACGCACCCACCACCAGCGTTCAAATCCAGGACCTTCTGGTGATAAAGCGAGCTAGCTCGTAGATCTTTAAGCCACCTACAGCCGATCCAATGGCCAACGCATGTATTCCAACTTCTGCTAGCCAATGCCCTCGGCGAGTATTTGTCCTCACACCCAACCTGCTGCACCCTACTAGTCACTGCGTCCCACTAGAACACCAGCTGATATTTCAGTCGATAAACTGTTCTTTTGACTGGCCGCGTGACAGAAATAATCCTCATCCTCGTCACTAGTTAACTTACTGTTTTAGAATGCTTTTTTGGAGATGCAAAAATATGATCTCAGTTAATCCTTTCCATACCCAAGTCTCTTAACTCTGCTGAAGAGTCCCAAACTAGGACGAAACAGTTGTCCAATACTCCCTGCAGGTTTTCCAATGGTTCTCTAACCTATGTCGGCTCATGATGAAATCCTCTAACCAATCAACCAAATCCTTACAAACCAATACTAAACTCATTGTTAGAAGTAGGTATTGAGTGACATAAAAGGGGAGCAGATTATAGTTTTTAAACAAGCTTTAGAATTCATCAGAAGGCTTTGAAGTTCTCTGTGGTGCTTAATTCACCTAAGCACTAAAACTAATTCCGCATGTCATAAAAGCTGGATAATTAATGGTAGCCTCACATAGATGAGATACTGGATTTCGACTATCCTAATTCATACAAAAACACTGACGTTGCCTGTCTATACAGTGAAGATGATATTGTAGAGTGTAGTCAGTTGGACGCTACTCACTATCATGTAAAATTGTACATCTCCTATTCTTCTAACTATGAAATTTCCTCCAACATTAATGCTGCAGACCATTTAGCCTGAAAATATCCTCTCAAGTACGTCACTTAACCAACCATTACTTTTAAGAACACGTGTGTATGGAGACTGATGTTAACATAGACATGAACTGCAATTGTACATCAGTATTACTCAATGTAAACCACGGAAACTTTATCCGGTAGATAGATCTCAGCTTCCCTTCGACTGTTATATCACTTTGTAGCTTGGATAACAGGAATTAGTCATCCTAATACACCTGATATCATGAAGATCCTAATCAAATACGGTGTGGAATCAAGCTATAATCAAAAATAAATAAATTTTTAAGTTCTGATTGATTTCAAGTTCCCTGTGGGGGACTGATATCGGTTAGAGAACAACTGGAAATCTGGGGCTACTGAGCAGCTGTCTCGTGCCAGCTTGTGGCTGGCTCCTCAGAGACCGAACCCAAAACCTTGAGGTTACAAGGTGAGCTCGCTGGCTGGAACGGAATCCAATGGACCATCACTTCTTCCAGCCAATAGGATAACAACCACTCAGGTGACACTGTATAAAACTTCAAAAATATTTATCAATAACACCTGACATTCATACATGATAAATAGGGCTTACGATAAAATTTCGTCAAAGTTGACATCTTCATAACTCTAAAATGTTACAGCCTTCCAGCTGACTCCATGTCTTTAAAAGTATATCTAATGACAGCAGGTAATACAGATTTGATAACATCAGGTAGTGTCTAGACGAAGTCTTGTAGTAGACGACGCACTACTAGTAATACGGCTTTCAAAATCAGCAATTAAAACACAGTCTTACAACACATTTGTTAGCAATTATCTAAGCACCATGTTATTTATCCTTAGCTCTTCTCTTAATACCAGATCACATTTTTTTGTCTCTTCTGTGCAGTAAAACAAACAAACAAACAAAAAACAATCAATCAATCAATTCAATTCACCTCATTCAACCAACATTGAAATATATAAAACA